ACAGTATGAAAATGGGAGTTGTGTTAGAGGTTTCTTTATAGGCGGACAACTTGGCTTCCAGAAGACATTGGTTATTTGGAGTAATTCTCAGTACCAGGCATAACTTACCTCCCTATTGGTAAGCTCTGAGGAACCCAAAATAATACAGGATATTGTCATTGCCCTTGGTTGTGCAAACAACTAAGTGATAAGACCTTAATGCTGAAGATGCCACCCACCTTGATTGCAGAACATCAATAAGTCAATCTCTGACTGACCAGGAAACTCCTCCTGCCAGCTAGTTTACAATATGCTGGAAGGTACTAATCAAGCTGATGGCATGAGCCAGGGTGAGGGAGACAGCAATGGTCTTGCCACGAGATAAATGCCATAATATTGCAATGTAAGCACAGGGTTGTTTGGAAGCCCTCTGGGAACCTGTCTGTTCCATAACCACCTGCCACGTTTCCATCTCTCACAATCAATACTTCCTCGACTCATTCTCCCACCCTGCCATAGTGAGTGCCTCTTCTAAAGGCCCTCAGACAAGTTTATATGCCTTTTCAGCTCCAGCTTCTAAAACCAAATCTTAATATTTCACACAAGTCAAGGCTTAAATAGAAACAAAATGCAGGCCCAAACAAGCTGGAACCATGTATGACCTGTTATTTTTTTTTATCAGATATAGTGATTTTTCTTGCCATCTCTATGTCTTCGTTTCCATTTCTTTGCATGAGTACGTCTGTGACCTGTGTTTGGATGTGTGTGGGACATGTGTATGCATGTGCACATGCATGTGCATATATTTGGAAGTCATTTTTATGTATTCTTATTGAGTCAGATTCTCTCTATCTCCAACTGAAAGCTCACCAATTCCACTAGTCTATCTATCCAACTTGCCCCAGGATCCCGTTTCCTATTCTGAAATTACAGATGGGCCGTGTGTGTGTGTGTGTGTGTGTGTGTGTGTGAGAGAGAGAGAGAGAGAGAGAGAGAGAGAGAGAGAGAGAGAGAGAGAGAGAGAGAGAGAGAGAGAGAGAGAGAGAGAGAGAGAGAGAGAGAGAGAGAGAGTTTGAGACAGGGCCTCATGAAGTCCAGACTGGCATCAGATTTCCTATGAAGCCGACTATGACTGATCCTCCTGACCCTGCTTCTCAAGTACCGGGATTATATACATACATGCTACCATACCCAGCTCCTGTCAATCCATCACAAGTTATCTAACCTTGTAGGATAGATTTTTCTTTCTTGAACACTCAACCGGTACAGAAGTTTTGACTTGCTTTATGATAAAAAGATGTAGAAATGAGAGCTGTTAGAGTCATTATCCCAGCTACAAGGGAGCTGAGGCAGGAGGATTACAGGTTCTAGGCCTGTCTGTGCTACAGAGTGAGCTCATAGAGATTCTGGGAAACCCTGTGATACCGTGTGTCAAAAGGCAAGCTTAGGATATTACTGAGTGGAAGAGTGTTAAGAGTCCTAGGTTCCAGTGCTCGCTCTCTCTCTCTCTCTCTCTCTCTCTCTCTCTCTCTCTCTCTCTCTCTCTCTCTCTCTCTCTCTCTCACACACACACACACACACACACACTCACACACTCACACACACACACACACACACACTGGGTGGCAGAGGGCAAGCTATGTGTAAATGGGTTTTAAACACGGAGACAATACAAGGCCATTTCTGACTCACTTTAGTAACAGAGGTTAGCAGCAGCAGCTCGTGTAAGTGAGGGCGGTCTCACTCAACTTCACATTAGTTTCTACTCTTTTCAAATGTTTTCCCTTTAGCATGAAAACCCTCTGACAGCATTATCAATTTAGTTATTAATTTTCTTTTCCTAAGAACTAATTGAGTTTTCAAAAAGCAGCTGGATCTATATTCAGTAAAGGTAAAAAAATAAAACTTTTTTTTAATAGAAAGGGAATGGCTAAATAAGCCCTCTCAGGTGATGTTTGGGTTAGCTTGAGATACTTGGACATTGTCCTGCCTGTTTGAATCTTTTATGAGACATTCATATAAAATTATTAGAAATGAAAAGGGAACCTAGACAATAAAGCACAGATTTAAAATACTTATGATCTCTAGTGTGTATTTCTTTGCTATCACTGAAATGAAATTTTGAGTGCATTACATTTAAAGACGTTTCTAATGTAGCAGAAATCTAATTTCACTCCAAAGTCATGTGGTATTGATTACTTCAGAAGTCTCTTTGATAGAATCCAGAGCAAGGCACTGATCCAGTCAACTGAGCTATGCCAGGCACGCTGCAGGCTGGAGGCGAAGCTGATGGATGAGAGCTGCCCAGAGTGCAGTACCCAGCGGCTGCTATAGCTTTATGCTGAACACCATACAACTTTTGGGTGAAAGTTCTTCAGAGGGCTGAAGAGGTAGCTCAGTGGGCACAGTCCTTCCATGTATCTTTGTCCTTCTTACACTCTTTCACTTGCTTTATTACTACTGAGTAGGGAAGCTGAAGGGAACAGATACAATGCCTTGACAGGAGCCTTGGTGTTAACGGATACTAGAGGACACCTATGCATTTCAGTTGTGTCCCCAAGACGTTTCAGATAGCAGCACTTGGGTACTGAGTGGGGGAAAATGTAGTCTGAAGTTTTTATAGCTACAGATATTAATGGGTAATTAGTAGAATAAGGAGGGGATGGGAAAAAGGGAGGAAAAGAGAAAGTAAAGTATGAATGATAAGGAAATATACGGTCTACCGGTACGAGGGGTAAGAGAAAAAATAGAGTAGGAGTAGGAAGAAGACAGTCATAAAAATATATATTCTGGAAAAATGCAAGCTCACACAAAACAAGTAATTGGAGTATAGGTGTACAGATAAAAAATACAGAAATAAATGTAAAAATGAAAGTAAGAAATAGAAAGAAATGGGAGGTATTTATAGCCTCAGTCGGTGCCTCTTCCTTGTTGAGTATATTGCCTTCTCAAACACTATGCTGATCCCACATGGTTCAAGAAGCCCAGCTTCAGTACTGAAGATCTTGCTGCTCCCAAGGAGCCCCATCTAAAAGAGGGGAGAGCATTTCAACGCTAGGCTGACCTGATGTGGGGTGGGACATGCCAGCCCCATTGGTCTGTCTCTAGCTCTCCACTCCCATGGCATTCACGTCAGCAAGGTGGGCTGACCTCAGCTCAGGGTGAGCAGTGAAATGAGGCTGGAGGCTGGTTGGTCTTTGTCCCTTTGCTGTGGCTTCCAAATGAGATTCCCTCCCATCAATCACCCAATGAAGGGATCACTGCCATTGCCAAATCTGCATCTGAATTGAGGCTTATGGGAACTGTGAGCTTGCCATAAGGGTATGGTGCCAGTCTCCTTGCTGGGGCTGCCCGTGGGTGTGTTTTTTGCTTCCCCAGCCCATTTCTAAGTACCACCCCTTTTTTCTTTCACAAGCTTTGGGTATTTCTATATATCATGGCTTTTGTGTATTTCTAAGGGTCTTCCTCTCCTACTTTTTTTTTTTTTGCATAGTCTGCCCCCCCCCAACGCCCCATCCTAACTCCTTAGTTTTCTCTTTCATTGGGGCATAAAATTGATGGTTCTTAGCCCACCATCTTACCTGGAAAATCCTTTCTCCATTTTAAAAGGCATTTTGTTGGTTTTATTTTTAGATATTGTTAAACGGTTATTTATTTTGTGTGTTTGTACACACGAGGCGGGTGCATGCACATGGATGGTGTACTGTGCGGTGGCCAGAGAACCACTTCAGGGACAGTTTTCTCCTCCCACCACATAGACCCCAGGGACAGAACTCAAGTTGCCAGTCTTGATGACAGCCTTACTGCGGAGCCATCTTGCTGAGCCAGTTCTTATTTTTTATTACTTAAAACAATTTTTAAATTTAATTATATTTTAATCATATTAGTCTCTTTTTTGAAGTCTTTCAGGATCTTCTCCCCCTCTCTACCCACCCAACTTTAAGTTTTTCTCGAAAAACAAATAAAAACCCAACGCAACAAAATACCCCAAAGCAGCCAGGTGGTGGTGGTGCACGCCTTCAATTCCAGCACTCGGGAGGCAGAGGCAGGTGGATCTCTGTGAGTTTGAGACCAAGCCTGGTCTACGGAGCAAGTTCCAGGACAGGCTCCAAAACAAAACAGAGAAACCCTGTCTCGAAAAAACCAAAAACCAAAAAACAAGACAAAATACCCTAAAACAAAGAAAAAAAATAAAACCACACCCAAAAAGAAAAAGAAAACACAACACCAGCTATAACCAAATAAAAACATGTACAAAAGGACTTTTGGCGCTCATTACATGTTGGTCAACTACTCCTGAACATGAGGCCTGTCTAGGAGCGGTTGATGTGTCACTGTGCTGGAGAAAACTGGTTTTCCTTTTCCCAGCAGGTATAAGTGACAGTTTAGTCACTAACTTTAATCCTAGAGGATAGGTCTTCACTCATTCATTAAAAAATAATAAAATATAATAAAACATTAAAGTTGGACAAGACAAACCAGCAGGAGGAAAAGATTCTAAGTTAAGGCACAAGAATCCGAGACCCACTGCTTCCATACTCAGGAATCCCATAAGAACCACTCAACTGGAAGCCATAGGATAAAAGCAGAGGACCTGGTGCAGAGCCGTGCAGGCTGCATCAGTCTCTGTGAGTTCATGAGGGCCTTCTTCTCCTGGTGCCCTCCATTCCCTCTGACTCTTACATTATTTTGCCTCCTCTTCCAAGGGGTTCCCTGAACTCTGAAGGGAGGGATTTGATGGAGATGTCTCATGTAGGGCCAAGACCTAGCTCTTTTTTTATCTTTCAAATAGTTACTTTTATTACTTCTGGAGGAAAATATGTTGTATTTTTCCTTAAGGGTACCAGTTAGGAAGACACTGCCGTTTAGGCCTTTGGGACAATTTTTTTTCCAATACCACTGAATGTTAGAATTTGGAAGAAAACATATTTAAATTATAAATCATAAATCTTAGTGGTGTGGAGCTTCTCTGATGTATGTGAGGCCCAGTTATGTTTGATTCTTAGCACCAAACATAAAAATAAGTTAAACAATTAGTATTTAATTTCTGCAAGTGTTTTCTTATGTATAAAAAATGACTGGAAAACTCTGGAATTTCCTTCAGAAGTGATTTACACTCATCAATCAAATAGTTATCTAGGGTCATGGTGATGAGCAGAAGGCTTATCATCTCTCCTGGGCTGTTGGGAACTGATGTTGGGGGGGCATTCCAAGCACATGCAGGAGCATCTCAAGTGATCTCTGGGGCAGAGTTCCAACACAAAGTCCAGAAGAAATCACAAGATGAACAAAATGACAGCAGCAAGACTGTCTGGTAACAACTTGTGAAAAAAACGCTGATATTTTCAGAGTTGAAGAGGAATTCTCCGAAATGGGAACAGACCCAGTCATTCTTTCAGAGAGCTGTAAGTTGAAATAGACACATACTTAGTGGAAGAGGAAGAAAACTGCCCCAGGTGCCTCCTTTTTAGATCACGAAGTATGGAAGCCAATTACAGGTCAGTCCTGTTGGTGTGTGTGCTCACTCAGGGTTCGCCATCTTTAAGAAGCTTACGTTTCTTCATGGATTGTTTCCATGCCCTTTGCTTGTTCTTAGAACTCATCAGAACTAGGTTTTCCAAGTTATAGTTATTCATGGGGGTTCCAAACAAGGGTTGTTCAGCTGCTAATACTGACACTTAATACTGTCAACTTGATACGGTCTACAGTCACTGAAGATGCAAGCTTCTTCGAATATCTGTGAGAGATTATCTGTATTAGGTTAACTGAGGTGAGAAGACTCACCCTGAATGTGGGTGGCACCATCCCCCTGGCTGGGGTGAATAAAAAGGAGAAAGTGATCTGAATACTAGCTTTCATTGTGCTGTGCTTTCTGACTGCAGATGCAGTGTGTCCAGTAGTCTCTTTCTCCCACACTCATGCCTTCCCTCTCATAATGGAGGGATGTCATAGCATCACAAAGGTACCTAATACAGCTGTGATGGTCAATATGAGTACCTGCAATTAACTGGGCAGAAAGACATCTAGTCTCAGGCTGAAGTTTGCTTGTGGTTTTGGAATCCATACTGGCAGATTATCTGGGTGTGGCAAAGCACTTCTGGTTGCCCATCTCAAAATCCTACCCTTTCATGGTATTAGAACTTTGTCGACACATCTCTTGGCTGTTGTGGATGTGGCTCATTGGGACTCTCAGAGGCAGAAAGGCTCTCTACTTCCTTTTGGCATTTGGCTGAGTAGATAATGTATGTGCTTCTCATTAGGAAGACCACAGCAATGACAGCAAAGTAACTTCCGTAAACTAGAAACTGGAAGAAAACAAACAATTAGCTATTTATAAAATATGACCATTCATATCATTGATAATATATAACAACCTTCCTTGTTTGATTGGATTATGTGGTAGTAGAGATCTAGAACTTAGTATGGGTTATTCTGCCTGGACTCTTCTCTCAAATGAACCAAGGTTAATAATAGTGTAAGCATGTCTAATAGTGATGAAGGGCTTTGCTGTAGACTCCTAGCTACTTCAGCAGTGGTGGAGGGAAATCTCTGTAGAACCCAAGGTTCTGTCTATGTTTTGTGTATGAAGGGTGGTTCTGTGTAATGACTTGTAAATGCTAAGGTTTCTTCTTACCCGTCTTCTTCAAGTAGATATGAATCTAGTTGCTCTAAATTTAGTTGGTATCATAATTAAGGACTGCAATATTTAAAATTGTTCATAATCAAATCATTTAAAAAACCTTCAGTATTGCTAGTTTTATGATTGAGAAACCTTGGAAGCAACCTAGTTACTCTCTTTTCCTAGCTATCGTGCCAATGGGAACCAGAAGCCCTGCAGCTTACCTGAGTGGTGACTGGCAAGTGGAGCCCTCTTTGATCTGCCACAATCACAGTCATGATGGTCTGAATCACCAAGGCAATGAAAGTGTCTATGCCAAACACCAGGGCATAACGTTCTACGCTCAGGTTAACGGCAATCTGAAACCTGTTGTTAAATGTTGAGTTAGCATTTAATAACATAGCAACATAGCAACCATAGCAAAAATAATTTTTTTCTTACTTTTTAATGTGTTTTGGTGTTTTGCCTATATATATAGGTCTGAGTGAGAGTGCTTGATCCCCTGGAACCAGAGTTATAGACAGTTGTGGGTTGTCATGTGGGTACTGGGAATTGAACCTGGATCCTTTGGAAAAGTAGTGAGTGCTCCTAACCACTGAGCAATCTACAGCCCCAAATACATAAAATTCTTATCTAAAGATAGACACTGAAAATGGACATAGTGGACATGGTGATGCATTCCTAGCATTCATGGTCACTCTTGCCCACATAGCAAATTCAAGGCCACCCTAGGATACTTGAGACTTTGTGTTAAAACCAGAAGAAAAAAGAGAACAAGACAATACAAGACTTGAAAACAGTGTTGTTAAGGCATGTCTTACCTAACTCTTATCCAGTATAGATATACAGGCAGAGAAAGAAAAAAGAATCAAATATTATTGAAGACAGAATTAAACACACTAGAATAAAATTCCTCCTACATAATCTAACACTTTCCAGAAATTAAATTTAAATGTTAACATCTTATAACTTGAGAATATTGAATGTCACTTGGCTTTCTACATGTTTGAAATGAAGTTTTATAAAAAATGCAGACATCATCCAACCTGAGGTCTTTTAAAAAACATACTCAGTTTGTCAATGTCCCACAGTAAGAAGTTGTAGTAGGTAGGCGATTATTTTTTGGAAGGTTTAGACCATGGTTAGTTGTGAAATTGACTGAATATATAATTAGCTTTAAACTAGAGATTTCAAACTTTCACAACATTTCTTATAATGTAGATAAAAGGCTTTGAACTCTGAATGTTTTTTTAATGCAAAGGAGTAATAATAGTTCTACCTTTCATCCTCATCATCATAAAAAAAAAATGAAACAGACATTTGAGTTTGACTCATTAAACCAAGATATTTCCATGAAAAACTTAGCTCTCCGTGATGGTTAATTTCAACTTGATACAGCCTAGGCTCACCTGGGAAAAGAGTCTTAAAGAGGGACTGTCTAGATCAGGTTAGCCTGTGGATGTGGGTGGCACCATTCCCTAGGCAGGGGAGCTGAACAGAGGAGATAGTTGTCTGAGAGCAAGAAGCAAGGATACATTTATTCTCTTTGCTCTTGACCATGGATATAACATGACTCCTCCCAAAAAGGTTAGACTATAACTTGGAATTATAAACCAAATAAATCCTCTCCTAGCCTCTGTTACTTTTTGCCAGAGTCACAGCCACAAAAATGCAATCAGAACATTTGCTAACTACTTCCATCTCTAGTCTCTCCTGATCTTTGCCTTGGTTTTACGATTTATCAAACATTTTTCACAAATTAAAAATGAAACTTGATAAAGCTTGCCACTGTTTCTCAGATATAGCTTGTAACTGAAATGCATGTTTATCATCTCTTTTTGGCTAATATCAAAGGAAACAATGTTCTCCTCCTGCTGCCCCTTCTCCTCCTTTTCTGAGACAAGATCCATGTGGCCCAGGCTGGCTTCAAGTTTGCTATGTCATCAAGGATGACCTTGAATTTTTGATCCTTCTGCCTCTATGTCCATGTTCTGAATAGCAGAAGTGTTCCACCCCATCCAGTTTGAAGGGATGCTATCCCACTTGAGCATGTGGCTCTGCCAGACTTGGGCCTTCTCCCCCATTCCCTCTGCCTTGCATAAAACTGTTAGATTACATTCCTAAGGCTAGCCACCAAGGCCCATTCCTTTATTTGGTTACTTCCTCCTCCTGAGGCTGATAACCAAGACCAACTATCAAAGAACTAGAAGTGCAACAATCAAAAGCCCCCTTTGGCTCAGCTAATTAATATGCCTAATTAAAATTAAAGCCCTCATCCTAACACAGGGTTTCCCTTTTTACCTTTATAAACTGACATTTTCCTATGGGCCACGTTTGTCTCCTCTCTATCCAGAGGCAGTCCTAATCTCCCTCTTGGGACAAATACCCCTTCTTAATCTCCCTTGTTTCCCTTCCCCTTCTCCCTGTCCTCTGTCTCCTGCCTTTGTCACTTCCTATTCCCTGCCCTTTGTTCCCCTGGGTCAAAGGACTTCATGCATATGTGGCAATCACCTTACCAACTGAGCTACATAGCCTGCTCCCAAAGAAAATTTCTTGTAGTCAGCTTTGCTGTATCCATACAAGCCATGTGCTTTAAAATAATTTCTTCCAAAAAAAAACCCAAACAAAACCAAATCAAAACCTCTTAAAAAGCAGATACAAGCATTAAAGGAAACTCTGAATTTCAGAGACCTTATTTAAAACAAAAAGATTCAAAGGCACGCTGTTTCAGGTACAAGTGAAGATGACATGGTCTTACCATCTCTGCATCATTTCCCCGCCTCCAGTCCTACTTTTTATAGCTTTCTTGAGAATATTGATACAGAAAAGTATGTGCTTAGAACTTCTGGAGCAACTAAATGGGATTAGGGATAAAATCTAAACCTATGCATCTAAAATTAAATCACATCAGACTTTGTTATGACAAATCATTGGAAGTAAAAAGAAATAAAAAAGTAGAACATGGATCCTTGTATTCCATTCACACAGTAGCCCCCTTCAATGACTCTGAAATATTCAGCTAAATGAAAAGATGGCTTCATTGAATTCCCTTCGATATGGAGTTAGCATTTGACACTGCAACAGGTTGAGATCCTTCTGAAGTTCCCGGAGTGTCTTTAGCAACCCAGGGAAGAGGAGGGGGGACGGTAGGTGACACTTACACTGCTATGGTTATAAGAAACATATAGCTCGACTTGACCAGTAAATAGCCAGCATAGCACACCCAGATGCTGAGCGTGTAATTCATGAGAAACAGAGCGCCAGCGATGACAGCTGAGAAGATGGCCAGACCCAGTTCTCCTAGGAGATCCCAGTTGACCTTCACGTAGCCAACTGAGAAAGCAGCCAAAGCTCCTGGAAACGGACACGGAGGAAAAAAGTCAAGCTATTGACTTTGCAGGAAGAAAGCAGTAACACACCAACCAACCAACCAACCAAACAACCAAACAAACAACAAACACTCAGCTCTTGAGCAGTCCTGAAGGTGACCAGCACAGTTTCACAAAAATTAAGTGATCCACTTCAATGAAGATTTTTTAAAGGATTTTTTTCCAAGCAGGTTTTCTTCTTTTCTCACTTTTTATTGCTTTCAACCATTTTGACCTTATACTTTTATTTAGTATCAAAGACATACACTAGGCAGAAGGGATAAAAAAGGTCTAATCACAGCATTATGGGTAGCAGTAACACAGTAGCCTGTCATTTAAAGAACACCTAGGATAGCAAGCATGGAAATGTCTTAGAGGTAAATCTCTATTGTTTTCAATTGTATATTTTTTAGTGGTGGGTGTCCCAATTTTCTTTTCTTTCTTTCCTTCTTGCCTGTCTTCCTACCTCCTTTCTTCCCTCCTCTCTCTTCTTTCCTTCCTTTGAGTAATCCTTTTGCTACAGCTAACCTGTCTTGAGGACTTTGGACAAAAAGGACCTGAACTTATGTATACATAGAGTTTGAAAAGGTGAAGAACTGACTGTAGCCAGTAACTACTGTTCTCTTGAACTGAACAAAAGATATTTAGGGTTAAAATTATTGGTAAGTGGTCAATTGTTTTTCTCGCAGGTGATCTGTAATAGAACTGTCTCTAAAAAGGAATGGCTCTTCCCAAGAATTTTGGCCATAAGAGCAATAATGTCAATGATCAAATTCTGGCATAGCCTTGGCTTTCAGGAGTTAGCTGAAGCCTCCTAAGAGGGAAACAATAATGAAACCGAGTCTACGTGCAGTTCTGAAGCTTTCTGTAGAGGAAAGTGTGGAAATATCCCGCTTCCTAAGACACATCTTCAAAGTTTCCATTGACAAGGATGTAAATATTTATTGTAGAGTATGCTTCAAAGGCAAATTTCTTTTTGATATTAGAATCCTGAGTCTAACATCATGGAAACTATGTGTAAAAATGCCACTTTTGGAAATTGTTGGTGTGCAACCTAGAGTTGTGAAGTTTCCTAAGAAGACTGTGTAAGGTCCTAGAAACCTTCATGCATTTTCTAGAGTTAATAATAAAAATTCTTCACTTTTCCCTTTCTTCTAATATTAAAAACAGTTTTGACTCATGTAGGTCAGGAAATAAGGGTAACACTCAACAAATGAGACAAGTGAGAGTCAAAACTTCTGGAGGGTAGAGGGGGGTTCAAGTTAAGAGGATGCCTATGGAATGGGAAGAAAGCCTTTGCTATTATACAGTAGACAGAGGATCCATGTCTACAATATCTGTATCCAAGACAGGAAACAGGAAATCCAGCAACTAGGAGGTGAATAAAAGGAAGGGTATGGAGGTGCAGGGGGGCTGTATGCCCAACATACATTATACCCTTGTACATATGCTTAAAAAAGACAAAACAACAAAACGCTGGCTTAGCTTAGTCAGTAAAGTCCTTGCCTTGCAAGCATGAAGATCTGAGTTTGAGTCCTAGCACCCACATATGGTACTGTATTGTATTTCTGGAGAAGGGGGAGATAGAGACAAATGGAGCCCTGGAGCAAACTGGCCAGACAGTTTGGCCTATTTGGTGAGTTACAGGCCAATGAGAAACTCTGCTTAAAAAACAAAAGAAAAGGAAAAGATGGAGGGCATCCAAAGGATGACACTTGGTTGTCCTTTGGTTTTCACATGTGCCATGTGCTCACCCACACGGGTATACACACACACACACACACACACACACACACACACATACACACACAGAGACACCAAGAAGATAAAAAATAGAAGATATATTTATGTCACTCATCTTTAAACTAAGAATGAAACCAAATATTAAACTTTAAAACATATGAACATAATACCGAAGGAACAGGACACATTATCAACATTTATCTTGATAATGAAATGGGATCTATCGATTCTCCTAGAAAGATATTTCTTGGTTCTAAGCCTTTTACTCTGGAGTTACTTGTAACTGTGACACATAGCACACATTGTACTCTTATTTTTCCAGTGCCTTCTCTACTTGAATGGGAAGATAGCTTAGTGGGTAAAAGGTCTTCTTATGGAAACTTGAGGACCTAAGTTCAAATCCCCAGAACACCTCTAAAACATTGGATGTCCTTGTGCATGCCTGCTATCCCACTCCTGTAGGGGGTAGAGAGAGGAGGATCTTGGGGCTTTCTGGCCACTAGCCTAGCTCTGGGGCCAGTGAGAGACCCTGTTTTAGGGGACACCTGGTGTCCTTCTCTTGCTTCTGTGCACACACAGCCACACACACATATGCATAAATACCCTCTGCCCCCCACTAAAATAAAAAATCACTCTACTTACTAATCATAGCTGATTAATCACCAAGGAGAAGTTTAGTATCTGGAGCAATACCCTTCAGAGGGTAGCAGGGGAGGAAAGAGATGTCTACTTACCTCCAAATGTTGCAGCAGCCTCTACTGCTCCATTATAGATAGAAGAGTCTTGGGAGGGTGCCTTGTGTTCCCATAAGACTTGAACATAGTTCAAGACTTGATTATAACCCGATGTAGCAAAAGCCCACCACAGGGACCAGTAAAAAAGGTGCTTGGAGGAGTAGCACTCCTTCAGGTCTTGGAACCAATGCACAAAGACTCTCAAAGCCACGTTTTCTGTCTCGGAGTTGCTCAGCTCACTGTCCTCTGGAGTCCCTGAAGTAGCAGGCAATTCTGGGTGAGCTGTCTTGTGGTTCTTCTGAGTTCCCTCAAGGACAGTATCTTGTCCCGGTGGCTTTGGACGAGCTTCTCTGTCATACGTTGTATGGAAAAACATGCTCTTCTTAGGCATCGGTAAAAAAAGTGAGAAAAAGAAAGCCACAGAGACACAGGCCAAGGTTGTGTAAAAGAGGAAAGAGTATGGTAGGCTTGCCAGGGATACCAGGAGCTGGCCCAGCACCGAGCCTACTGTGTAGGCCACCAGAGTGACACTCCGACAGTAGCTGCTCACTTTCTGGTAGTGTTCTGGGCTGACCATGCTATATATGTAGGAATAATAGCCTATCTCCGTGGCTGAGACAACCCCAAAAAAGAACTCAGCCACCTGCATGAGTATCACACCCTGGCCAAACAAAAGAAGCAGGTAGCAAATGATGAAGGCCATGATGTGTAATATGATGACTGGTTTGTAGCGCAGGTAATCTGTGAGGATGAACACAGGGGGCAGCATCGCCAGGTAGGAGTATGTCCAAACAGGAAGGACCTCGTTTGTCATCTGTGGAGTTGATATGTAGGGGTGACCAGAAAGCACAGTGTATCTCAAAGGGACATGTGGCAGATTTGCATCACAAAGCCACATCAAATCAGAAATTCTTTGTATTATGGGGTAAAATAATAGAAAACTGGTCTACAGGTACATGGCTAAGAAAAAGTAGTGTCTTTGCTAAATGAAAAATAAAACAACAACAAAAATAGCTCAACATGAATGGCAAGGGAACATAAAGATCTGGAAATGCCTTTCTTGTTAGATAGGAGGATTATTTAGCTTTAAGTTTGTTTGATTTTTGTTCCTACTGATACATGCACAATTAGAAACTTAAAATTATTAGTGAAATTAGAAGAAAGTGATTGCAAGAGTAGGAAGGAGAAGTAAAAAAATAGCTCAACATGGGGCTTGGGGGAATGGTAAAGAAAAAGAAAACCAAAACTGCAAGCAACTTCCATACTTAGGTGTACCCCACTAGAAGAGTTCTAGGGAGATGTCTTCTGGATTATATAAGAAATTTAAGTTTAAGTAGTATGTAGTGGTTGAGTAGATTAGTTAAAAATTTCAAGTTAAGTTTAAACTTAAATACTCTGAACTTCTGAGAGTTTTGAGTTCTTAAAAAAACCCCATTCTGCAGAGTGAGTTCTAAGACAGCCCAGGCTACATTGAAAAACACTGTCTCAAAAAAACCAAGCCAAACCAAAACCCAGTCTGGAGATATAGTTCAGTGGTTAAGAGCACTGGCTGCTCTTCCAGAGGACCTAGGTTCAATTCCCAGCACCCACATGGCAGATCACAGTTGTCTGTATCCAGTTGTAGGGGATCTGACATCGTCAAATAGACGATCTACTTGTTTGTAAAGATTATCAGATGTCATAATGTACAGAGTGGGACAACTTCTCTTAACTTGATCACTGCCTTCCACCTGTCTGAAATATGGGTAGACATACACAATTGGTAGCAAGAGCAAACAGTTTTGTCAAATTACCAAGTGGGGAACAGGTAATACATTTCCTTTACTTCCTGTCCAAATTTGCTGGGCTCTCAAGCTCCTCTTGTCCTATCCATGTCTATAGATTTGTCAGTGCTTGTTCAAGTTTAATGTGGGTTGTGTTCCTATTTAAAGACAAACACATGAGCCCTCAAGTTTCATAGGCAGAAAGGACTCAAAATACTGTGAATGGTCTTTGAGTGTGATGGGTAAGAGTGCCATCTTTTCAATCACTGAACTCCTAATTGACATCTGGATCCCCCAAGGTCTTAGGAGGGCCCAGAACTAACTTGTGGTTATGAAAGAGAATTTATTCACTTGTCCACAGTGTATGCAGATGAAAACCTGGTGGGTGGGTTAAGCTGAATCTGGCCCAACCTTCACCTTTGTCTTAAGTATGATATGCTTCAGTCCAAGAAACTCCGAAGCCATTGTGTTTTACACAATGAACTTGGCTTCTGTCTTTGCCAATTCTCTACTGATAACCCAGTACCAATTAGCTTCTTAGATAATGCCACATTCCATACAGTATTTTCATGATTGTGGTTGGAGATAGTAAACCAGCCTAGGGTGATTTTTTTTAGTTGGGTTGGTACATTTCCTTATAGCTTTTAGATAGAAAGAAAGGAAGGGAGGGATATTTTCCATGCTATGTAGACCAAGCTGGCCTTGATATCATAGAAATCTACCTGCCTTCACCACCAGAGTACAGGGATTAAAGAATTGTGCTGCCATTGTCCAGTAAGAAATGCCTTAAGTAAGAGAATTTGGCTTGCAGGAAGAGAAGTGAATCTGGGAAATCAATCAGTTTACATCACATTTGCTACTAAATAGTTTTTCAAAACTGGTTAGAGCCACAAAGGAATACAACCATGTGTTGCTTTGAAAAATGTGTCTTTGGCTAATTTTGTTTACTGTGCAAACCTTATAGAAAGTGCTTCCAGAAACATCCAGATGTTATCACCCACTATACAGACCAGCTATGTGGTGTAGGGTAGCCTATTGCTCTTAGGAACTTGATGAATAAAACACGGAATAACTTAATCACAAGAGAATATGATACACTCAAAAGATTCAGTAACCACAGGATGTATGGGCTGACAATGGAGTAGTATGGTACTTTTATTTTTGGTAAATAGGAATATACCTTAAGTCAACGATGGAAGGATCAGTAAATGCATATACAGTAACAGCCACTTACCGTTATTATCAAGTTTTATATTGCATAATATATATATAAGTGTGTGTGTGTGTGTTGTACTTTTATGGGTAACAGAGCAGTAAGTTTGTTTATAATGGTATCACATAAACACAAATATAAATATTGAGGTGTGATTTTGAGGTGGTTGCAGTGTTATTAAGTGACAGGAATTCTCTGGGATGTTATGCCTTTTAACTACAGTTAGGTAACTAAAGTTATAATCATAAAGGCACCATTGCATATATGGGCCGACATTCACTGAACATCATTATGTGACATGCAACTGTATTACATTATCTTATTACATCCTGCTTATTCCCTATCATTTTCTCAGAAGGCAATTCTGAGGCAGAGAATAACTTCGTTTTAGGGGAACCGTAATAGAACCCATAGAGATCTGAAAAACTCCTATATATTCAGACTAACTTCAACACTCTGAAAATTAAAACACACTTCATACATGTTAAGTGTTTGGCTTAACATTTTTGCAAGTGTTAGGAGGAAAAGGTAGTTCTATTATGTAATAAGTTCTGTGAGAACGGGGCTCACTGGAATTCAAGGCTTTTTATCTTATTGTAAGTTGAATGACTTCCCTTCCTTTCCATTTAAGTCCCATTTAATTAACCCCTATTCAGATAGATACCAATTAGCTTACCTCTGCTTGAGTTAGATTCTTACTGGGTTCAGACAAAAATGGGATTAGGAATGGTTCGGCAGGCCTGAACATGGAGAAAAATCCAAATAAGCAGAGTATGACAGTGGGATACACCCAAGAGTCGCTTGTTGGAGTCCTGAAGCAATTCATGGCTGGTCAAATGGAAAGAAAGCAAACGTTAAGCGAGGCTTATCCTTCTCTGGCATCTTGGAGAGTATCAAGAGCTGGTTACGTCTACATATTTTATGAAAATACGATGTTCGTTCATCTGCTGTGAAGCTGGAAAAGTGAGTGCTGAGTTACTCCTCACACATTTCCCAGGTGAACCCTCTTTTTTCAGAGGGCCCCCTTTTCATTATTTCTGGAGGGAATTGGATTTCTCTAGTGTTTTCTCAAGCATAGTGATGGGCAGCTACTAATAAACCGTGAGGGGCGGGGTAAGTACATGCTTGATCTTAAGTCAGATACTAGCTAATGAACCTGTGGCCAATTGTAGCAGGGAAAGTGCTTCCAGATGGACAGACTGGATTAATCAAGCCTTCTGGGATCTGCCTACCCAGCTTCCCATTGATTTGAGAATTTTTAACACACTGACCGGCATTCGTTTAGTATAAATTTATCTTTCTACCAGACTGTTCCTTGTTTGGAATCTTATTGGTTGTATAATAAAGAACTGAAATATCTGCCAGGTTTCCCCATCATTGAAGAATTTCTAATTCCTCAGTTAGAAGAATTGACTGGGAACCATTTGGGCGGCTCAGCCAAGCAAGCCTGATGGTCTGAGTTTGATCTGTTTTAACCTCCGCGCCCTCCCTCCCTTTTTTTGAGACAGGGTTTCTCTGTGTAGTTCAGGCTGTCCTGGAACTCGCTCCGTAAAAACCAGGTTGGCCTCAAACTTACAGTTCCGCCTGCCTCTGCCTCCCAACTGCTGGAATTAAAGGCGTGCCATCAAGTTGCAAGTGGTAGCAAACATCTGTAATCCCCAAACTCTTACCCTAAAATGGGAAGCAGACGTTAAGAGAACTGCCCAGAAGCTTCCAGGTCAGCAAGTCTGTAGTGCCCGGTACAGCAGACACAGAGAGACCCACCCTAGTCAGGTGGAAGTCCACAACAATCTGAGAGGAGGCCTCTGACCTCTAGACTGCAAGTGCGCCTTAGCGGGTAAGAGTCTGCCTCCACCCTGACCCATGCTGATAATAAATAAAATACACATTTAAGGAAATTAATTGGGTAAAGATGTAACTTTCTAACTTTCCCCCATATTCCCACCCCAGCCCCATGTTTTGCACTGGGGCCAGTTATATTTGGAAATGGGAAGCATGGCTTGGAAGACAATCACTCCACGTTTCATTTGGAGTGAGTGAAATGTGTCCTTGCAGATTATCCGTGGGGGTGGGACACCTGTCTGTGTCATTAATTCTTCACACTTTTCCTAATGGATGTTGACACTGCTTGAAGTTCTAACCCAATAAAAAGTGCAAGATCTTCCTAGTCACTGCCCAGAAAGCAAAGGACAAACACAACCTGCCTTATTGTATGGTGGCTGTATTTGAACATATCTGCCTCCTCTGGTGTGGATTACAGTTAGTACAGAGATGTTTGTGATATCTTCATATCTGAGATCAGACTTCGTAATAAGAGGCATTGTTGGTGGCCTTGACTTTGGTTACATTCTAGATAATGTAAAGGAGGTGGCTGGCTCTGGGTGCAGTGCCGTTCTGTGTATTTTCTCATCAAAGCATCATAGTAACTATAATTCAAAGATGACTAAATGAAAAAAAATCTAACCACTGGATAGAAACAGTGATTAAGACAGGAACCATGGTTTCCTAACTCCTGCCAGGATCCTTTTATCCACTCTACCCTGCCTCAGTGTGGTGGAGCTTTCCCAGCTACCGCTTTATTAATCTACTGACAGCCTCTCTACAAGGAGAAAATAAAGGATTTGTATCATATAATGACAACCTTGCTTTAAGCATGAGGAACGAGTTTTCAAACAGAAATCCATAGCAGACACTATGGCTTAATATACAAACCTTTCAAAAGTGACTTTGAGTGGTCAAAACAAGTGGCCACTCATCCTAGAAGGGCAGGCCACCTGGGTAGAATTTCAGGTGTCCAGGCATCTGTGCCTATTCAGTCACACAACATCTTGTCCTTACCTAACCTTTACAAGGTGCTCTAAGCAGCTGTATAACTTATAACTTTGCTGTTACATTAAATAAGGTCAATATCATTTCCATTTATGTCAAAAACTCCCTGGACTTCCCAACTTAGAGAGAGAGAGAGCATGGTGATTGCATTCTGGAAAATGGTTCCAACAGTGAGCAGTGCTGACATTGTAGAAATCCTGTCAAAGGCAAACTTGAGTTGACCATTCTCAACTTATACCCTCACCCCAGAAACCAAGGACTTTCTTTTTCCATTCCTGAGATTCTACCAGGCCTGCTGGGACTCCCTTTCTTATTAATAGTCTCCTAGGAATAGTTATCTTAAATAGCCAATTACTGAGGCTAGCCCATTTTTTGAAGGCTGGTGTTAACAGGATGGTGTTTGCTGGCTACATGTGGAACATTCAATCTCTGCTGACCATGGATTTGGCTATTAACCTAAAGTTATCTTTTCCCATGCATCTCTGGGATTTGCGACTGTGTCTTTGGTTCCTGGGCTGTTAAAAGGACAATGGATTCTTTATCTCTTGACCCCTTATGGTCCAACTACAGTTAGTTGGGAAAGCAGTGAAAAAATATGCCCCTAGAGTGTAAGTCATACAAAGTCAGGGCATGTTGTATGGTTCATTGCTCTTTTCTAAGTGGTTAAAAGTACCTGATAGTCAGTAAGCCCTCAAAGATGATAGCAACTCACATTATACCATACTGAGGTAATCTAAGGAGCCCATTTTAAGTTAAGATCATTAGCTAAATTATGGTGTTAACAAAAGGCTCACTGAGATAAAAAAACAAAAGAAAACAAGCCAAAAACCAAAAAGAAAACAAAAAGGCAAACACTCCTACCACTCTGGAATTCCCAAGAATGACAGGAGGTGGCACTATGATGGAGTAATGCATATTTTCTTTTGTACCAGCTGCCGTTTCTGAAAACCCTATCTCCTAGGCTGTCAACACTACCAGTTAGCTCCCTCACCGGACAGATACAAACTACAAGTCTGAGTAGCAAAAATTGAAATAATTACTTTGAAACGATATCAGATCACAAAAGATAAGTATGTTTTCCCCTCTACTTATTACTGAAACAGGGAGAATTTAACTTTGGGTGAAACAGTCCAAAAAGCAAAGGCCTGCAGGCATGTTAATTAAGGCAGACCCGCAGGAGGAGGCAGGGACAAAGGATACCCGGTTGCTGCCAAAATCTATTACTGTGATGCAAAACCTGGATTGGAGCATGAATCCACCCATTTTTACCTTAAGCTATAGTATTTTGGCTGTGACTGGTCAAATTTAAAAATGCCTTTTACTATCATGACCTCCCTGTATGTAAAAACCAATTTGATATATAATGAAACACTATTACAGACTACCTAGAAGAAAACCAATCTTTGAGATCAAGGAACTGGCAAATATTACAAAGAAATGACAAAACAGACTAACCTTGAAAGGGACAAAAATAAAGGAGAGCAAACATAATCTTACAAGAGCAAATAGGTGAGATACAGTTCAAAAGTCGGGAAAGAAGCTATAGACCTAAGAGAAAACAGACACAACACCAGTGTCTGTCAAAAGACAGTGCCATCCAAAATGTGTAATAAGTTCCTAAAACTCAGGGATAAAAGATGAGCCAGAGATCTGAAAGTTTTACAAAAGCGTGGCTGTCTGGAAGTATGGAGAGACACTCTTCGGAAGTTCTCAGGAATCAGGCACCAAAACTGTCGGTCATGACTCACAGTCGCTGCTATGGCTGAAGGAAAACTGATGAGCAAGTATACTGGAGGCCGGGAAGGCTTTCAAATTAATGAATGTGTATTCGCTGCTTTGCGGAAGGACAAAATAGTGCCAGCTCTTTTTGAACACCATTTAGCAAGCCATCCAAGGCGGTTCATGTTTTCACGATGGGGTGAGAAGTGAGAAACAGCTGACGTGTCTGTCAAATGGGGAAATGAATACGAAACACAATATGCCTTTTATCAGCCAGTAGCAATGGACAGCTAAAGGGACCACACTACTGCAAGACTAGGACGGGGAGTAAGTGTCACTATGCTCTTCCAGAAGTCCCCACCCTCCACACTCACAGAGTCACAGGCAAGCAAAAGAGACACGGAATAGACTGGTGGCTTCCTTGGATGGGATTAGAGGAGGGAATAAGAGCAACAGAGAACACGGATGTTTGGGTAGAAAAAGGAATGCACTCTCTACAGCTTGGCTGTGGTGATGGCTGTGGGGTTTAAATCCAAATGTATGTAGCACAGACTCATAAGGTACATATTAGCATAGGGAGGCTATACTTGAACACACACACACACATACACACATGCATATATATGGAACAAAAGTAAGTTAACCTCAAACACTATGCTCTGTAAAGGAATCTAGACAACAAGGACATGTTGAGGAAGTCCATTTATACCTTGTCCCTAAGCAGGCAAAACTACAGTACTTCATGTTGACTGAAACCAAAACTCTGAGGTGGGGAGCTGGGAAGGGGGGTGGCCCATGAGGACACTTTCTGGGTTTTTAAATATCCTGTGCCTTAATGAACTAATTACAAGTAGGGGTTTAATTACAAACACCCAAACTTAAAACTGCTCTCTGTGTTGAAAGTAAGTTCCACACTTCAATATGATGAAAGGCAGCCTCCCACTCCCTCCTCCAAAGCGTTTTACAGTGACCTCAATTTTCCTTACAGGTACGGTGACTGTGGTAATTTCAATTTGCATGAGGGCAAACTGAACACTGTCTTTGAGTTTGGGTTTATCCTAGAAAATTTAGAGCAGAAATAGTAGCACTAGTCAAATCTAGGACAAATGGAGAAGCCTAAGTTGGGCCCCTTCAGACTAATTCAGACAGCTCAAGTACCTCTTGATTCAGCGTCCTGAGTTGGGGACTGGCTTCCTGCCTTAGACTCACTTCCATTCCTTCGAGCTGCTGCAAAGCACGGCCAGCTGCATGTCATTCTAGTTTGGGAGGAAGGCGTTCCTTAAGAGCCAGTCTGCCAGGGCAATGACCCTGGCCCCTTCAGGAAGGCTCACTGCTCCGGAATGCACACCCCTCCACCCTCTGTTGGAATCCTGATAAATAAACCAAGCACCTAGGCTCAGAGCTTCCTGAAACACAAATGATTACAAAGGTCTACAAATTCAAAGCAACCTCCATTTCACTCTGAATGGTATTAGTAAAATCATCTAGTTTCTTTAGAAATACTGTACTACCTGACTTGAGCACTGAGAAAAGTAGAAAGGAGTCCCAAACTCACTGGTAAAGCTTCATGCCAACTCCCCATCTTAACAGTGGGAAGAAGCAGATTAAAAAAGATGTGAATCAGGCCCAGCTACTCAATAAACACAACAGAATGGCTCTCCTTTGGGTCAAGCCACTGTCAAAGTGCACATGATACTGGAAACCCATGTCCCAGGCTCTATTTTATCATGTGTGTATTACTCTTTTATTTGGGCCTGGCATCTCCCCATCTATGTTTATTCTCTGCTGGGGTTATGGCTTGACTTAAATGGAGGGAGATGTCTAACTAGCAAAGCTATTCAGTGGGGAGCAGCTTAGCCAGGAAGTCAACCAATACAGCCTCCATGTGGACCTGGAAGGGTGAGGACCTGACGAAAGCATCCAGTGAGGGTGGGGAAAAATCGTGTTTCAGGAAAAAAAAAGCATAGATCTGTCCATCTGTTTTATAGCTCTGTATTTTAATAACTGAAACTTTGTGAAAAAACTTTCTTGTCTATAGCTATGCAAATATGCTTTACCTAGGGAAGGGGCAATATTCTTCTCTCATAGAAATTAGTGGCAATTATCCCAATCTGCATTTCATCACTAAATATTCAATGTCCCTGTTCCATGAATGTACCCATTCTTCAGAATCTCTTTCCATTACCAGTGTCCTTCCTAGTGACTTAAAATCATTAACACCTTTATCTTTTTCTATTTACTCTTGACTCAGAAAGACTCCC